CTCAAAAAAAAAAAACAAAAAAAACCCACAACTGCTTGTCCCACCCAAAGGCTCCCTCAGGACAGCTTGGGGCTCAGCCTGGAGCCCAGAGGGCTGCTTTCCCCAGAGACAGCCACTGTGAGCATGAGGATTCCTTCTGTGGCAGGCCATGGGCTAGGAACTTCACATCTGTCCATTCCAGGAAGTTAACCTGTGACTGTCCCCATTTTATAGATGAGGAAACTGGGGCTCAGAAAGATTCATAATATACTTACAACTCTGTAGCTGAGATTGAAACCCAAGTTTCTGTTCAGAGCCCACTCTGCCATTGTCCCTCTGTCCAGGGGACAGACCAGGTTCAGGCTTAACCCAAACTGAAACACTTTAAGTCTCAAACACTGTAGCTCAAAAGAAGGGTATCTGATGGGAGCTAAACAGTTGTGCTGGGATGGGACAAGAATGAGGCATGAAAAGACACATCTCACACAGGTGACAGGTGCAAAAGAGAGGCTTTAATCCAAACAGCAATGAAGGCGCAAGGGGCCGAGTGCATGGGAGGAGCCAGGAAGGCAATGGCCCAGTCCTGGGAGGAAAGCAGGCACTGGCCTCCCCTAGGAAACGTCTGTGACTCTTGTAGCTCCTGTCCCAGCCTTTGCAGACCACCAGCAAAATCCTGGGTCAAGCCCCTGTGTTGTGCTTCTCAGTGCTCCCCCTTTCCAAAGGGTGTGTGTACCCAGATTTAGACAGGGTGGTGGAAAAGGGCAGGCCTGGGCAGGGGGACCCCTTAACCTCAGGAACTGGCATGCTGTTGCCAGGTCCCCTTGTCCCCCATTGGGCCTACCCAGCCCTTGCCTGGCCCAAACCATCCTTAGAGCCAATGCCTCAGCTTGGGGGCTATCACTTACCTCATCCCAAACAGGCAAAGGGCAGGTTTGGGAAGAGGCGAATAAGGGAGCAAGGTTGCTGCCTCTGGGCCCACCCACCCACCCACCCACCACCTGACCAGCCTGTTAGGAGGGAGCAGAAGTTTCTGCCACCTCTCCTCTGCCAGGGAAGTTCTGGAAAGACAGGCCTCACTCAATCAGCCAGGGCCTGCCAGGAGCCCAGTGCCTATCCAAAAGGGCAGCTTCCATAGCTGGGCTACTCTTGGGTTGAGGGTAGGAAAGGGAAGACATGTGGCTACAGCCAAGAAACCCAACAAAACCAATGGCCAGAGAGCAAAAAAACAAAGATGAAGCTGCTCTGGCTAATAGGGGTCTTAAGACCTAGGGGGGCAACAGAAAAAGGAGCCTGGGAACAGCACCAGCCTCGGACAGCTGAGACCGCCACCCCGCCCCACCCCACCCAATGCTGGCTGTCAGCCTCAGCCTCCAGCTCTGCAGCACACAGACACCCACTCAGCATGGCTTGGGACCCACCCTGTAAGGAACAACTGCTCTAACCCTGGAGGCATCGGAGGCATCACTGTGGAAGGGAAAGCAAGGAAACAGCAGCAGACCCTGCTCTCCCTGCTGGTTCATAGAACAGCCCTGGCCTCAAAATGAGACTCATCAGGAGGGAAGGGAGGATAGGAGGCCAGGACAGGAGAGGGTGGCCCAAGACTGGGGCCCAGTCCCTCTCTTTGTGCCCATCTACCACAGGGCAGGTTAGGAAACTCGCCACACTTTGATCACGTCTCACAACTTGGGTCCTTCAGCCTTATGCTCTGAGGCCCCCACACCCTGCGCTTACCACCCCACCCAGTAAACAGCCTCTAATCAAACAGAAACAACGAGGAAGGGGGCAGGGAGGGGACCATAGCTGGGGTGGGGAAGGCGAGCCCAAGAACTAGGTGGCTCAGGCTCCATGGTGTGGCCCCTCCTAGCCAGACGTGACGGGATGGATGGGCAGCAGACTCCCGAACTTGAAGTGCTGGATCACAGGGAACTTCTCCAGGCACTGTGAGGAAGGTGGGGGAGAACAGAGAGGTAAGGGCTGCACTGTACACAGAGGGACCATGGTGACTAGAGCAGTTCCCAGGTGTTCATTCCAGGCCCAGAAGGGGCCCATCCAGAGCAGCAACCTCAAGGAAAGGTGAGGCTTCCTACCTTCACCCTTACCCCCTCCCATCCAAAGACCTCCACTCCCAGACAATCAGACCCACCAAACAATGTGAGAGACACAGGGAAAGGGAGAGGGAGAAAGAGCACGAGCATGCCAGCCCAACCCACAAAGCAGAAGCCAAGAAGAGAGGCGGCCAAGTGACATCACCTGGCCCAGAGGGAGAACTCAGGGGAAAAAACTCTCCCAATCTTTGGGTCCCCCTAGCCCAGGTCCTGGCCCTGGAAAAGCACTGTGGGGACATTTGAACACAAGCCCAAGAAGAGGCCCATTTTCTCTAGTTTTCAGTTCTCTGGACTGAAAAAGGCTTCTTGGCGCTTGGAGTGAGACAATAAGAACCAGCTGACATCCTGTGTCCTCCCTCCCCCCAGCAATTCCCAGCATCCCTGGATAAGCACTGAAGAGAGTGATGGCTGCACAGCTCAGCCAGCCCAGGCCCCTAGCTGGGCTTATCATAGATCTGGCCTGGTTCAGAGGCAGCCCAAACCCAGCTCCCAGCCTCCCTGAGTCTGCACTACTGTGCCCACCACACTGGTCCTGGTCACCAGCTAGCTCTCACAGGCAGTGGCTCCAGGCATAAAAGGGGCAGACCTGCCAGGCTGGCCTAGGGCCTCCTCCCATACCCTTGGCCACAGAAACAACCAGTGCTGGGTACCTCCTGGCTGGAATGCAGCAACTATGGCTCCAGCACGGGTGAGAGCCTCACTCTGTGGCTGCAGTCTTAACCTCCAACTAACTGAGGGCCCAGTTCCCTCACCTCAAAAACCAACTGCAGAACGGAGGAAGGAGAAGCTCACAGAGTAAGGAGGCCCAGCCAGCAGTATGTATCCTGGTGGACAGTGGCCCGTAGGCCAGGAGGGGAGTGGAAGGATGGGCCACTAAGCTCAGAGAGGAAGCAAAGCAGAGGCCACAGCCAGGATCCTAGGCCTGAGGCAGAGAAAGTAGGAAACAGGCAGCTATGGGTAGTCTCTGGTGGGAGGAAGGGCAGCAGGGCCAGGCCAGAGGCAAAGGCAGCTGCCATAGTGCTTATGTCATGAGGGAAGTGCTGGGAGTTAGTACAAGCATTCCCCCCCAGGGCCCTGAATTCCAGAAGGGGTTAAAGGTCAACTTGCTTCTAGCTCTCACAGAGGAGAAGCAGCAAAGGCAAGAGGGGGCAGGGGCAGAAGTTCTCTCCACTCTGCCCACAGGACCCTAGAACAAGCTTCCTCCAGCCACAGAGAAGGCAGGAGCTGGGCTGAGGGGAGAGGCTGCTTGAGGCAAAGGAAGTTGAAGGTTCTAAAACAAAAGGGAGCCTCCACTCAGGCCTCAGGGAACCTTACTCCCATACCTGGGCAGAGCAGCCCCAGCAGCCTGTGCCCTCAGAGACCTTCCAAGTGGACCTTCCAGGAGAGTCCAACCCCTAGGCCCTCAGGGGTTCCAGGAATTCAAAGGGGAGAAGGTACTCTCCAAGCACTGAGCAGGCCCTTCTGGAAGGCAACACCAGCACATTGGTGGCCCTGGGGAATGACCAGCCCCACCATCAACTGCATGAGACCTCCTCAGAGCACTTGGCTCTTTACTTCAGAAAGTCCAGGCACCTTGGAAACGCAGTTAGTCCCAAATCTTGAGGCCACCTATGGCAGGTTGGTCAGGCTTCTCTGGCAGCTTTGGTAAGCCAACTCTCCTGCAGCAGCCAACTCTGGATGGTGGCAGGTCTTGCTAACCCCTCTGAACTGCAAGACTGTTAGGCCTCAAAATTCTGAAGACATCTGAAGGTCCTTTGGACCTCTGAGCAGGCAGCATGCCATCCCATGGACACTCCTGGACCAAGGACTAACTTATCAGTGAGCACTAAACATTGCAAAGACTTGTTATTCTTTTATTTTCTTTTGGCCAGGGCCAGGCTTAAACCCACCACCCCCAGTATATGGGGCCAGCACCCTACTCCTTGAGCCACAGACGCTACCCTTTTTTTTTTTTTTT